GCTCCGTCGTCTCGGTGCCTGCGGGGGGCCTTCCTGTCTCGGGTGTCGCGAGCGGAGTTGGCCGCCTGTGTTTCCTCGAATCGGATGTAATGCGCGGCTCTGTCGAGGAAATCTTGGAGGGATGTTGGCCGGTGTATGCCTACGGCCTCGTAGAAATTGGAGTCGTGGCGCAGGCCTTGTTCCATTAAGTAGCGTTTCATTTCGTCGGACGTCGTCACCTGCATTGCTTCCCGAGTGAACCTTTCGATGTACTTTCGGAGAGGTTCGTCGGGGCCTTGGATGATCGCCTCGAGGACTGCTTCTGTCTTCGGGTGGCGTCGGGACGCCGTAAAGTGTTTGGAGAACAGGTCCTTCAAGACCCTCCATGACGTAACTGATTCGGGCTCCAGACTTTTATACCAGGTCATAGCGCCTTTCCTTAGAGTCGTCGGGAAGAGTCTGCACTTGATAGCTCCCCGGACGTTTCGGTAGTCGAGCATAGCCTCGATGTCTTCCAGGTGATCGTTCGGGTCGGAGGTGCCATCGTATGTCGACAGCGTCGGTGGTTTCTCCATCCCTTGGGGTATGGGGGCAACCATGATTTCCCGGGACAGCGGGGTGTGGTAATCGTCCTCGTCGCTGTGCGCCGGGGATCGATGGGAGATGAGCCGTTCAAGGTAAACCCCTGGTTTCGGGTTCTCGACCTCCTGCCTGAGTTCTCGCCTCGGGGGTCTTTGGTCGGGATCACCGCGGCGTTTTGGTTCCTCACGCGAACATGTCGTGCTGGGGATCTGGTGCATTCTCGTGTCACCTGTGTGTGGTGCCTCTCCAGCCACGGCCGACGGTTTCTGGGTCGAGGTGAGGGGCTCCTCGAACCTCCGTTCTGGTCTTCCCGCGGGGGGTACCTCAGAGGACCGATGCGTTCTAATGCCCCAATTCTCGCATTTTGTTGGAACAGCAGCTGGTTCGTCTGGTTGATGGCCGTAAAGAGAGCGGCCACCGTTGGGTCCGCTCCCGCCGGGATGGGAACAGGATGGAATGCTGGCGGGCTCGGGGGCCGGTGGTCGACCTGAAGGGGCCGCTCCGCGGATGACGGCGAAGCAGTTTGGCCGTCCCTTTCGTCGGTTTCCTCCGGACACGTCGTTCCTGTCTGCTTGTTCCCGTTGGTGGAGACGTTAAGCACGAGGTCGTGCGGAGTGCCGTCGCGGTGTGGACTAGCCATGATCGTGGAGGTTTGGTGAAACTTTTGGTTTTCTGCTCGGAGTAACGGGGAAGTTTCAAGTTCCCACAGACGGCGCCACTGATCTGACCTGATCAGGAGGGGATCATGGGCTGGCCACACGCTGTTGGGCTGCTACCTGTTCACCGGTGATGAGGAGGAGAAGGGGGGTATACCTGCAAGACACTCCGATGCCAGAGTAAGAAATTGGGCAGAGTGAGAGCAAAGTACAGAAAGGGCAAGATGTCAATTACCTGACCCTCTTGAGGAAGAGGGTATTTATAAAGAGACCCCAGCGCTGGGCCAACGGTCACTTGTGTTGGGCTGGATGGCCAGGCCCAACCCAGGTGACTGCTAGGGCTTACGTGGCGTAGTGAAGACCAGGACGTGGTCTTCGCCCTAGTCCAACTGTCCCGTGGTCTCCGGAAAGTGGGTTTGACCTGCTCTTTCGGAGGTGGACAGTTGGGGATGACGTGTCCCCGCGGAGGGGAGCACGTGGAGAACGTGCACCGGGCACGTTGTTCTCCCCACGGAGGGGAGCTTGGGAGGTACCCCGGAGCGCGTTGTTCTCCTCGCGGAGGGGAGGAACCAAGGCCGTGCTCTGGTGCGTCATGGTAGGTTCTGTTCGGCTGGTAAGAGGGGACGACGAGATGTTGTTGGATACGCTGCTTGTGTCCGGCAGCATGCTCTGCTCGTCTTGCGGGACGCACGTGCCCGACGTGCCTGATTCGTCTGTTGGGCCGTACGTGGTATTGGGCCTGCCGAGGTCGGGCCCATACCGGAACAATATTTATTAGTACCTCCACTCTGTTGAGGTCAATTTTATTGACGGGAAAATGTCAAAATTGATAAATTTAATATTCATGGCATACTCTCGACTGAGGATTTGGGTCATCTCCTTTTTTATATATCCTGCCATCTCTCATGTTTCTAATCTAACGGTTCAGAATTTATAATAAATAATTAAATAAAAAAAGTCATTTAATAGGGGAGAGAAATGGATAAGTAATTTGACTTGACTTTTTTTATTTAATTATTTATTATAAATTCTGAACCGTTAGATTAGAAACATGAGAGATGACATGATATATAAAAAAAGAGAAGATCCAAATCCCTTGATCTATGTATAAATTTGTTTTCTAACGTTTATTAAGAATTTATTAAGAATGGTATTTAAGTGTATTTAATTTTTATTTTATTTTATGCAAAAACTATTACATAATTTTTAATATATCCTTAATTAAATAGTTATCCATTAACAACATAAAGTAATTAATGAATGGATAGTTTTGGAGACATTAAATGTTTATATTTGTTGACATTTATATATATTTAAGACCAAAATATCTAGAAGAATTTTGCTTAAAAATAAGGTAGGAGTATACTTTAAGATAATTTTCATATGTGTTAACTTAAATTTGTCTCCATAGGCACTACAATGTCATTAAAATGAACTTTAAAATGGGGGCAAAAGTGACCAAAACACATAAAAGCTAAAATAAAATTAAAGGATTAAATAGTTTATTTTTAAAATAAAATAATCAAAATTTTATTTAAAAAAATTAGGGACCAAAAATATATTTAAGTTTTTTTATAAACTAGATAGCATTTCAATACTATAAATAATATATTTCATAACAAATCTTTTATTTCACCCAACCAAAAGCTAAGGTAATTAGTCTTTACATTTCTGTTATGTGCAGCCCTGTAACATGTATGATCATCAATAAAGCTGACTATTTTTTTAATATTGTTGCCTATTCCTTTTACTAAACCTCACATAGAATTTACAACTCTAGCCATGCATTTAATCACCATCATTTTGAAACCATTCTTCTTTATGAACACATTCTTATGATTTTCCATTCCATAGTCCTTGATTGTCTCTCTTATAATCTCCTTGTTGGTGAACATCTTCCCTAAATGAAACTTCACTCCTACATCACTCTTATAAGTTTGGATACTTAACTACCTTTTCATCATCATCAGTCTCAGAAGGTGTGTATAAATGATCAGATTCTTCATGTCCCTCATTAACATGTTCCTAGTTGCCACTAGAACATTCACCTAATTCATGGGATGAAACTTTGATCCAGTCAAAGTCCTCAGATTCTACACTAAATGTAAAATCACTATCTTTATCACTAAACTCACTTGCAATATAATCCTCATAAACACTCATTTCACCACCATCTTCAACATTATCAGCACCAACCACATTATCTCAACTTCAACATTATCATCACTAACCACATTATCGACATCTTCAACATTATCAAGACCAACCACATTACCATCAGCTTCAACATTATCAGGACCAACCACATTACCACCATCTTTAACATCTTGACCATTAACTTCGACATGATCATCACCATTCATTTCTTCAGCTTCAACATTCTTAAAACTGATACATTGTACCTCATCATCATCAATGGTAGTATCTAACTCACTATCATCTAGAATCTCAAGAATTTCTACAATGAGTTTCACATAAACATCTATTACCTCATACCCTATGACATCTTTGACAAATATCAACACATCATTATCATTATTCAAGGGTCTAAGACCACGAGAAAAACTGAATCTAATATTTCAATACCACATACACGTTATGTCTTTATAACCCTCATTTTTAATCAGCTTCTCCAAATCCATGTGCGCCATGAAATCCACATCACACTTTCAATTCATCTCAGATACACATCCATCAACATACCAATTCACAGGTTCAAGAACTAATCTACCCCTATGGTGTACTCTTAACCTAATGACTCTGAGAAGGATTGCCAATTAATCGAAAAAATGGAATACATTAACATGCAATGTGGGTCCAATAAGTAACATTAAATAAAAACGATGAACCACTTTCTCGACAAAGACAAACATATGAGACCAGATGTTTAACTAAAAATGGTGGACCACAACATAACAATGAAAATGATGGTGACACGAAAACATACTTTAAACAGAACTTTACTTCATCACTCCTTTTGAAGTTTTTGTTGCTCATCTTCGCGTGCCTCGTGTGCTTTTCTAGAAATTATTTGGTATTCGAATTTGGGTTTTTCGCATGCTTCACATAAATGTTGAATGAGAGTAGAAATTATTTGGGATTTGGGATTAGGGTTCTCCACATTATTCTCATAACTACGATTTGGGATTTGTGATTAGGATTCTTCCCTTGCATTTTTCAAAAATGTGGAATAAGGTAAATTGATTTTGGTTTAAGTTCTGAGTATTTAATTAAGACTAATTATTTTTCAATGGAATCCAATACGTTTTTAATTATTTGAAAATAGAAAATCAACCATTTTAATTAGATATGAAAAAATATGACTTGCGCCAATAGTGTCTTGTCACGTCATTAACGAGACTGTCAATAATAACAAAATGGAGAGGGATCATGTAAATCTAAAGTGGTGCAAAATTGAGGGACCTAAAAGCTAGATTTAAAATGAGAAACTAAAAATTAACTTTTTCCATAATACGGAGACCAAAAGTGCATCTAAACCTAAAAAAAGAAGAAGTTAAAAGTCGATAGTTATGCAATAACAAAACACTTTTTTTAATCAAAAGAAAATATCTATTTTTTTTAAATAAAAGGAAATATAGATAAAAGCAACACAATTAAATATTTATTCTCACGTTTCCTAGAGCATCAACGAGCGTATGTTGGGCAATGTTTTATTACAGCTGATTAGAGTCAAAGAAGGCTGATACACCAATTTCCTTTTCAACTAGTTTCATCTTTCAAGCAATGTTCTTGTAATGTTTTGGCTATATTCCAAAGTAACTATCAAGTTTGAATCTTAGGCAAGTGCTTCCACCCTTTTATGTGAGAGTCCATGTACTCTTCACTTGGAAGCGTAATATTACACACTTTACATATTATATTGGAATTAACCATCCTAAATGGTTCACAAAGGTTCTTTTCCAGGGTGGGTTGGTTCTTTGCTTGGGTGGGTTGCTTCTTTGCTTTCAATGCCTCAATGGGATTCATGTGTTTCCTTCCACTGAGGTGTGAATTTAAGGTTGTCTCGCTCGATTTTGTCCCCGAACATAGAGCATAAGCTCACTCTTTCTGCATTTCCTTCTGTGCAGCAGCAAAACTCTGAGAAACGTCTCCACCAACTGTGTTTCTCCCCAATGCTCCTCTGGTTTTTATTATGGCGGATGATGCCTTTTGACTTGCCGTAATATTAGCGCAAGTTCTCTAGTACCAACAACACCAATGATAACAACAAAAATCATGATCACCATATTCACACAATATATTAATTTCACAACACTTAACATCAAAACATTACCTTTGGTGTTTCTTGTTAGCTGTGATTTCGTTTGTCGCTTTTGCATAGTTTTGCTTCTGCAAGGTAGGTTGCTTCTTTGATATTAAAGCTTCAGCAGCAACCCTGTGTTTTCTTCCATTTAGATGGGAATTCAAGGTTATCTCGCTCGATGTTGTTACCATACATAAAACATAATTCCACTCTTTCTGCACTTCCTTCTGTGTAGAAGTAGAACTTTGTGGAGCCTCTCTACTATCTCTGTTGCTCTTGGTGGTTACTTTGTTTTCTACTGTGGCTGCTAATGCATGTTGACTTGACACAATTTCAGAAATGTCCTGCATTGTCAAATAATAGCATACACATAAAGTAATTTATGTTAACTGATACAATACAACAACAACAACCAAACCTTATCCCACTAAGTGGGATCAGCTACATGGATCAACTTTGGCCATAATATTCAACTCAGAGTCATGCCTGACCTAGCATTCACATTATTCAGAGTTGTCGACTTCCTAACACAACCCTTTTCTTTTTTCCGGGCTTGGGACCGGCTATGCATAACAAATATAATTTCCCCTAGATATTGCCGCAGTTTGATAAACGTTTCCCTTCAGCTTGGAAAAATCAACTTATATAACTATACTTAATAGAAGTGAGATAATGATATTATTATATATACTTGTAAGTCTAGCAAGCCTCAACTTTAAAGTTTTATAATTTGTCTTTGGGAAATTTCTATTTCGATTTAAATGTGAAGAAAACCTTACTCGCTTGTTTGCAGGAATTGTTAGATTTATCTAACTTTTTATGGACTACAATCAATTATGGTTTAGTTTGTGAAAAACGGGTTAATCGTGATTCTAATGGGGGTGCATATATAAGCCCTTTATTAGTTAAGTGATCCTTTTTTAACTAATGGCTGAGTATCTGAAACCTGATTGGTATGGGTAAAAGTGTGGGCTTTAACCTTGAATCCATAATGGTAGGGACTAGGGTTATATATATTATATGGCTAGGTCTCCTCTGTAATCACAATAAGAATCAGAAACATAACTGACAGTTCCACAACTTGCCCCGTTGAGAGTTGTAAACGGGGGAGTGTGAAATACAAAGGAAGATCCGGTCATTCATCTTTTCAAGATTCCGAATCATAACTTCAATAAGTAAGTATTGATGTTCTAATTTCATATAATCAATAGATAAATTTTTCAGCTTACATTTGGTATTAGAGCTTAGATTATATAATTTATGACTCAATTATTTACCGTTAATATATGACTGTAATTTAACATGATTGTAAGTTATGATTCCGCTGATTTGATTGCTTCTCTTCTGTTTCAATTCTTTTTATTATATTCAATTGTGTAATGTTTTTGTGTGTATAATTCAATGTATGATATGCTTAGTTCCCAAAATACTAAGATGCTGGATTTTTTTTTGTTGAATTGGTTTTTTATTTTAACATCAATGCGGTACCGTTCTTTGCCCATGGAATTTAGAGAAGTGGTTTAGATTTCAATTTTTTTTTTTCTTTTCTCACGTCAGTACACAGTGCCTATGAAATATATATAAACCAACTGGGTATATATAAAACTATAAATTAATTGTGTCTAACATTCACTTGTTATATATTAATTGTATATTTTTAAATCTAACATTATTAATTGTATATATTACCAATTGAATTATATATTTATTTATATAACTAATTGATTTGACTATAATAGTAATGTTTCAAATTTCTGCTCACAACCACAATTAGCCAGAGACCCCGTCGGACCGTGTGAATTTGATTATATATATTTATTGATTACTATAATTATTAAATGCATATGTCTAAAGTCATGATTTTGATTGTAGTCACCTAACTAATTCATATCTTATAAATATTACACTGTTGTTTATATATTAACAGACCTTTGTTAATATATATTGAAAAAATTAAGCATATAATTATATTGAATAAATAGTATTATTTTAGATTTTTTTTATTAACTTAATATTAGTTTGTATGAATTTATGATATATCGGATGGACCTATCAAATATTTGAAATATTATGTAATATTTCTATAATATTGAGATTGATACTGTTGAAGACAAAATTGATTGAGAATGCTATATTATTTAAATCCATAATTGGTTTATGATATTTTTTAGCAAGAAAAATCTAATTTCTATGCAAGAAATTTTGTAAATTATTATGTGTGATTACCACCAAAGTAATATCACTCGTTTTAATTTATAAAAGTCACTTTGTAGTTTGAGGGATGATTTAAAGTCATTAATAGTATTGTCTTCCCAAAGGTGAACAATTGTACGTAGATATTGTGGTTGATTAAAGATATAAGTATTGGAGATGCTTGAGTTCAAGGGATTTATTTACCCAAAGGAGATAAATTTCTAAACTCAATGTATGCTTACTGAGTAGCTTATTCTTAAAATTCATAGATGAAGTTACTAGAGGTGCTTTCGTTTAGAGAATTTATCTACCCAAAGGAGATAGATTTTCGAACCAAATGTATGCTTATTGAAGTAACTTATCTGAGGTTCTGACCTTGGTTGTAATATGGGTTTTGTGCATTCCATCTAAAGGGGATTGTGTGATAATGTTGGCCTCTTCGTGATAGCTTATGTTCATTAAAGTTATATCTTGCCTTTATTATTTGTTCTTATGCATTCCTATTTTGTCTCAACAGTGACATTCTCTATGAACAATTGTTCAGCTTCTATTGAGATCCTGAATGAGTCTAATTTTAATAAATGGAAGAAAGACTTAGAGTTTTCATTAGGGATTGCTAATCTTGACGTGGCACTACGTGAAACCAAACCTGTGATGAATTATCAGAGTATACCTGAGGAGAAAGAAAGATTAGCTAAGTGGGAGAGGAGTGACCGACTTAGCTTGCATGCTATGAAGAGAACCATTTTTGAACATTTGATAAGTGGACTGTCGGAGAAAGAGAATGCTAAAGAATATCTTATTGTTGTTGCCAAGTGTGTAGCTGAAGAAGAGAAACTCAAGAAGGAAATAAGTGATTTAGACTTTCTAACTTTTCATGCTAAACCCCATTCCGATAAAAAATCTTGGAAAAATAAGAAAAACACTCATAGTGTTTCTCATAGATATCCTGATAGGAAAACTGGTAATGGTCAACACCATAATATAGGAGGTCTCAAGCCTGTTGCTTTTAAGAAATTCTTTTGGTGATTTTGGTATAAGGAAAAGGTGCATAAGAAAAATGATTGTTATGCTTTTAAAGCTTGGTTTGACAATAAAAACAAATTTAGAGGTAATCATTTAGCTTTTGTCTGTTTTGAGTCTAACTTAGTTGATGTTCCCATTAATTCTTTGTGGCTTGACAGTGGTTCTACAACCCATATTGATGTGTCCTTACATGAGTTCAGAAACTAACGGAGACCAAACTTTAAGGAAAGCAAACTTGGGGTGGGAAATGATCTTGAAGTCATGGTGGAGCTAGTGGGAGATGTTAGCTTAGTTTTAGGAACTGGTTTTGAACTTGTTTTGAAAGATACATTTTATGTATCTTCTTTTAGGAGGAATTTGATTTCAGTAACTTGTTTGGATAAGTTTGGATTTCAATTTACCTTTTATAATGGAAAAATAAATTTAATGTTGAATTCTCAAGCTGTTGGTAGTGGTATCTTGTTGGACGGTTTATATAAGTTATCTTTGTATTGTGATATAATGTCCTCATCCTTGAAGGTTGAAAGCTCCATTGCTAAAAGGTCTAAAATTAGAGAAAAATCCTCTTTGTTGTGGCACAAGCGTTTAAGACATATCTCTAAAGAAAGAGTTGAAAGGTTAATTAGAGATGATATTTTACCTTTCTTAGATTTCAATAATTTAGGGACTTGTGTGGATTGCATTAAAGGAAAGTTTACCAAACCAATTAGAAAGGTTCAAAAAGAAGTTCAGATCTTTTGGAAATTATTCATACAAACATTAGTGGACCCTTTTCTCCCACTATTTGTAGTAATAAATCTTTTATCACTTTCATTGATGATTTTTCCCGGTATGGCTATCTCTACTTGATTAAGGAAAAATCATAAGCAATTGAAAAGTTAAAAATCTTTAAAATTGAGGTTGAAAAGCAACTAGGAAAAGTGATAAAGGTGGTACGTTCTAACCGTGGTGGAGAGTATTATGGTAGATATGATTCTACTGGGCAACACATGGGCCTTTTGCAAAATACTTGAAAGATTGTGGAATTGTTTCACAATATACCATGCCTGATACTCCCGAACAAAATGGTGTAGCCAAAAGGCGAAACTGCACGCTCAAGGATATGATGAGAAGCATGATGAGTAAGTGTAGTTTACTAGAATTTTTATGGGGTGACGCTTTGAAAACAACCCTCTATATACTTAATAGAGTTCCTAGTAAATCATTTCCAAAAACACCTTTTAAGCTTTTGACAGGTAGAAAACCTAGTTTAAATCATCTTCGTGTCTGAGCTTGTCCTGTAGAGGTTAAAATATATAACCCTTTTGAGACAAAGCTTGACCAAAAAACAAGTCGTTATTTTTTTATTAGATATCTGGATCGATCTAAAGGATACAGATTCTTTTTTCATGGTAGAGGTAATAAAATTTTGGAGTCCATGCATGCAAAATTCCTTGAGCTTGATGTTGTTGAGCTTGTTACTGCATCTGATAATATTGATTCTATTATGCCTGATGTTGTTACT